CTGCAAGTCAAGGATATAAAAAGGAAGCTGGGGCACGGTGGGAGAGGGGGGATGACTGGAACACAGCAGGAGGCTGAGGGGGGATTCATGAGCAGGGGATGGACAGGTAAAGGTTGTCCTCCCTTAATCCCGACCAGTCCTGGGCCCGAGTTATGTACTTGTGTGTGTGTGTGTGTGTGTGTGTGTGTGTGTGTGTGACAGAAAGAGAGACAGAGAGTGAGCATGTTACATTTGAGTAAAGACAGGCAGGTTACCATGGCCAAGGAAATAGAATTAGGATGCACCATGCCCTTTGAGGGTCTCTTCCTCCCCCACTGAGGTTCCAGCCTTGCTTTACCTTTACCATCTCCTCAGCCATCTTCATGAACCACTTCACCCAGGTCAGGCTTTCCCCACCAACTGCAGGACAATAGCCTCAGAGTGACTATCTGCAGCAAATGTTCCACCTGGGTTCCATGTGTGACACATTTGAGTGTCCACACCTACTGCCCAGGCCATTATCTGCACTCTGTGCAGCTTGGCCTTCTCTCCTGAGTTCCACACCAGAGCCCTACTTCCTTGAATTACATGCCATCGTTCTTTCTATACATCATCTTTGCACCAAGTCTTCTGTGCACCAAGTACTTTCAGTGAGGTTTCCTTACAGCAAAATGGCACTGTTCAGTAAGCTGTGACTCCTCCCTAAGGACCATGGCTGAAACCGACACAGAGCAATCAGCCAGCGTGACCAGAACACAGGAGCTGGTGTGCAAAACACAGAAGTTCAATCATGCAGGGCACACACATATATATGTGCCATCAGTATGTCAAAACCACAGCAGTTGTGCAGCTAAGAGGCGCAGTTGTGGATTTTACTCTTGTGGACTTTAACCTTAGGCTGACAAATACTTTGTACGTAATATTCAGTGGGCCACACCTAATGTTTGAAGTGGTTTTCTTATTTAATGGATACAAGTACTAACAACAAGAATGAGTAGGTTGTTTGATGACCCAACTGTTAATTCTTGTTCTTTCTCTCCTC